TTCTGGGTATTTTCCCAGAAGATCTGAGAACATCATATCACAGCGGTATATGTGCACCCATATTCATAGCAGCGCAATTTGTAATTGCTAAATTGTGGAAGCAACCCAAATGTCCATCCACCGAGGATTGGATAAAAAAAATTGTAGTAATTTTATGTAATGGAATATTACTCAGCTATAAAGAAAGATAAACTCGAGGCTTTTATAGGTAAATGGTCACATCTAGAGACCATACTCATAAGTGAAATAAATCAGACCTGCATATGTAAGCAATCTATTGTCTCACCAGTATAAGACCTGAAAGAGTGAATAAAAACTAGGAGGTATGAGAGACATTGTGAAACGAAAGGAAAATGCTCAAAAGTAAAGGGCAACTGGGGTATGGGAAAAGAGAAGGGAAAGCGGAAATTATGTAAGTATGTACATACAGGATAGCTAACATAGTTGTACTACTATCTTCTCTTGCTCTACAGAAAGGAACAGTTAATGATTACTTGTTTGATCAATCTTGTATGTCTCTATTTGTTCTCCTGAGAAACCGCTTTGAAGATATCAATAAGTAATATAACAACCATTGTTAATTTCCTACAACTTTGTCTGTAACTCTATTTTGTTTGTATTGTTCTTATGCTATTTTGTAAACAGATGTCTGTTTGTTCATATGTTTTCCTTCTTTTATTTCTTTAAATTAAAAAAAAAAAAAAAGCTAACCAGGGATCCTTGCAGTGGTGAAGTAAGGTGGTGGTAATTGAATCATATTAAGGACATTTGAAATTGAAGGATATTTTCCTTTTACCCACTAGAGGGAGCCATTGAATTTAAAATGCTCTTTAAAATGAGGCTTTTGAACTGACTTTTAACGTCACAGGAAAGTACATTGTGCTGTTAGAAAAATAAACTTTTCTTTCCACATCTTCCAGAAACATAGACCAAAAGATGTAATTCTTTCTATATACACATATAAACATTTCTCAGAATTGAAAATATAGTTCCAATTCTGAAAACCTCAGTGTCTCAGCAAAAGTACTTCAGTTTTCTTGTTTCTAAAACCTATCAATATAGCTAGCTACAACCTTAATCTAGCGTAAGATTGCTTCATGATAGCACTAGAACAAGTTCCGCCTCTCTAAACTGCCAAAGTCACATCAGTCCTATATCAAAAATAGTTTAGTTAGCTGGCACTATGCATCACATCCATCGTAAGTATAAAACCACATGCTTGCAGACCCAGCAGTCATACCTCTAGCCATTTACACACAGAATCACTGGTACAACTGCCCAAAGCTGTGGACCAGGATTCTGATAAATCTTCTCCTTTGGGGCAGGTAGGCTGCTGGGGATTGAAGCCCACATGCAAGGCAGGTGCTCCACCATGGAGCTATGTCCCCAGCCCGGGAAACCATTGTTAATTACAGCGAAAGGTTTTGGAAGAAATAAAATGCCTATCAGTAAGAAATTACTGAAACACAATAGGAATACCCACAGGACAAAAAAGTGAAAGAATAAGGCAAAAGGTAGATGCAAAAGTTCAGAAATATAATTTCACTAAATGTATTAATATATGTTTATATATCCTAAGATCATGAGAGTAATTAGAGGGGAAAGGAAGATGACTTTTATTTTCTGTTTCTAAACTTCCCTAAATTATGGGCATTTTTACAATGAACAAAATTTGATTTCATAAATTATTAAAAATTTTTCCAGTTTGGAACAAACAGGCAGTACCAATGTCACAGTCATTTGCGATGCCATTTGCTAACTGGACACCAATATACAGTTTTCAAGAAAAAACACAAACAAATGTTCCTTTCTGCTCCTGATCATTTAAGACAAACTTCTTTTTCGTGAAACTCCCTCCAAGCTGTCCCTAGATCACCGGATCAGTCTTGAGCATAAGCACCTCAGCCCCTAAGAGCTGTGCTGTCATAGAACTACACACGCTTCTCCCTGGCTTCTCCCTGGCATGAACACTTTCTTTTTTTGTTGTTGTTTTTTGGTTTTTTTGGTTTTTTTTCCCGGTACCAGTAATCAAACTCACAACCTTGCGCTTGCCAAGCTGGCGCTGTGCCGCTGAGCTAAACCCCCAGCCCCATGAACACTTTCTTTGCTGCACCCCTCTCTCTTCCTTGCTCTAGTTCAAGGTAGTATTTTCAATCTACATTTCCCAAACCATTACAAACTACTCCTCAATAGCTTAATCACTATTACACCAGACTTAGTCAATAAATAAGAAAAAATAACCTGATTCCTTGATCAAGCTGCAGAATTTTGGAAATGCAATAATATTCACCTCATGAATGCTTTCAGTATTACTGATAAATTAAACATTGAGATGTACTGAAAAAACAGGCATAGTACTTCAAAAATAAAGCTTTACCACTGCCTATCCCATGCTTCCTACAATGGAAAAGTTCACGGCAAATAAGAATACTCAAGGTTCACACTGTAATTGTACAAGGAAAATAAAAACAAAGTTTAATTTTTTAAAATAGAATGTAAGCAAATAAATTTAAGCAAATATATTTTCAAGACAACAAATACACTATTCTAAACTTACAATGGCTTTGTTTTATTTCAAAATTTCAAATAATGCTAAAGACAAGCAGAACTTTTATATCCTATCAAAAGAAGATATAGGTTTTTTAAAAAATAAGAAACATAATCCTAAAAGGTAACTTTTAAGGTAAGTCCAATAAGATTTGGCATTAATATTTGCAAATATACCCTTCTATTTAGCACTCCAGTTCCTGGGAAAGAAGAGGAACGTGGCATAAAATTAAATTTTCTTTTTAAAGTCAGAATCCTAAAGCCCAGATGAGAGAAATTTACTAGTTTTGTCTGCTAAAGATAGGGTTTCACCAAGAAGGTTTTTAAGCTCATTCTTAATAAGGAACTCCCTCAGAGAGCCACACAAAGAGACTACATATGATACCAACACCTCATTATGGCGTGAACAACTAAACCCATCTACAGCCAAGAGAAGAACTTTTACTCTATCCCTCAAGTTGTTTTATAAAAGGCTTTTTAATGTACTCAGGTGATGGCTTCTAAAGGAAAAGCAGTTTCCTTATGTTAATATAAAAGACAAGAAATTAAGGAACAGAGCTCTGATATTTCCGTTACCAAATACAATCAAACTTCTATACAATCCAAAGCACCAAAAAGGGATAGTGGTGGTAGTAACCAGGGAGTGTTAGCTCCTCGTTCTTCCCCCCACCTCATCATTAGAACACTGACAATACGAAGTTTAGGACAGCCATGCATGTTTCATAGGGGCTTTCATAGGTTCCACCATGCAATGGCCAAAATCATATCACCTGCACATTTACATAGAGCTCCCTAAATCCTATTCTATAAGTCTAGGCTCTGGCAGGTAACGCTGCCGGTTTCAGTGTTTAGAAATGAAAGGGCTATCTGCCATGACTGGAGTTAGTTTCCTCCCAGTAGCCTTTAAGACAGTTACTAGTAACAGCTCAAATATGCCTGCCCCATAAAGACTCTTCAGTCCACCGGGTAGCTAACCAGTTTCTCTTCTATGATCCCACAGCGTTCTGTTCAAAGCTACACGACATTACTATGGATTTTCTTACTTTACATGTCTCCTCATGCTGAAAGACCTTCCAGGACAGAACACACGCCTTAATCGCTTTTACATCGGCAGCACCCTAACTCAGCACTTACAGGAAGGAAGGGGAAAGGGAGAGACACATTAACTACACAAACTACAAACACCTGGATACTAAGGAGGGGCTGGGAGAGGGAGATATGTCTCAGTGGTACAGCCCTTGTCTAGATGCATGAGGTCCTGGGATCCATTTCCAGTACCACCAAAAAAAATTTTTAATTAAAAATAAAAAGCAGTTGCACTGTCTTTCCAGATGCTACAGTTGAAGTGACTGGGAAGAAAAGCATTTTGTGAAGACCAGAAGTCTGGAAAGTTGTTCTTCTGTTGGTGTTCTAAATTCTTAGTTATGCAACAAATACAGCATTTCCACTAATCACTGCCAGCTTTCACTCTCAAAGAAATAAGGTGCCTTCTATTTTGCATAGTTTTGGCCAATGTCTATCTTACAAAGTTGTTCCTAACACAAAGTTACTATAAAATTTATCTTAAGTGGGTATCTTTCACTCTTGTGAAAATGTATGTCTTTGATATCTATGTCAAGGATATTTCAATTTGTCATTCTGTATAGGAAAAAAGACATTAGTTTAACACAAAATAAAAAAAGTAATAGAAATTTATTTGGAAATTTCAACTGGTTGGTTACTACATATTTTTCCTTAAGAGTCACTCCATGTTCACAAGTTTTCTCTAAAATACACAATTACTACTATTAACAGTTTGAGTTTCTCCTATCTCTTCTTCAAAATAAATACATATAATGTTCTGAAAAAAATGCAAAGTACACACTGGAGTGAGATTCTGGAGACCTGTTGTCTTTTGCCACATTAATCACTCAGTCTCTGATCCAAGTCAGTAACTGCTAGATCCCCATCTGCTCATCTATAAAGGGGTTAGATATAATCAGTAATTTTCAAAAGGACTATCTGAAGCCTTGGGGATTCTGTATGCTTAGGGGTAAGAGAGAAGCTAATAAAGAATATGCACTTCTTAAAAAGAGCTCAAAAATCACTAAACTACATGATTTGTAAGAACATTTAATATCCCAAAATCCTATTATTCTATTTCTTCATCCTATTAAAGTCTGCTCTTAGTCTCACATCTTAAAGTGAAAAAATAAATTTATATACATTGCTCAAAAGAAAACCCGTATTTTCGGCAATGGAAGTCACCCACCTCTAGTGGTCAGTAATGGTATCTATTTGTAACAGTTGCCCTGCTGTCCTGTAAACTACAATGAAACATGGCCTTCCAGAGATCCAAGACTGAAGTTATTTTCCCCTTAAGTGAATTATCCTACTATAATTTCATTAGCATATAACTTTAATATCATAACAATTATAAGGACACATTTAAGGAAATGAATTGTTTTTAATACCTGTACTATGAATTGTAACTCTCTCCTTTCTGTGTCCCATTGTTCTGCCTGTAATCTTAACTCTTCCAGCGCGGTCTCTCTGATATGTGACTCCAAATCACTCTTCTCCAGTTGATGTTTTTCCAACACTTCCTTCAAACGAATAAAAACCTGTTGTACTACTGTTTCAATGAAGGTTATCCTTCTACCCTTCAACACTCATTTAAGTGAGCAAAGGGGCTTTCCCTACCTACAGGCAGTTACAGACTATTACAATTCACGCTAAAATCTCAATAAAACCATCATTTTGATTATCAGAACATAGGAAGCAAGGGCTACCATGAAAGCAACTTGATATATACTTGTCTATACATTCACATTTTACCCAATTTTTCTAAAATATTTAACTTCAGAGGTTAATATGACACAGGCAAAACAGATTCCAATTAATATAGAAATCTCTACCTATGAACAAATTGTTTGGATAATCCTTGATAATTTATATACAAATCTGACAGAGAATAATGTATTTCCAAAAGGGGAAAAGAAAGGAATTTTGTATCATAAATCAAAATAAGGAAACTTCTAAACGTTACAGATTTGAAAATAAGAACTTTATGTTTAGACCCTAACTAATTTCTAGTTCTACAAATAATTTTAAGTTTTTCCTTTTATATTTTTCTAGGTACACAATAGTTACAAAACCTAATTTGGTTCAAACCCTTTAAAATATAAAATGCAGGTTTCCTGAGAAAACCAACTTTCTAAAAAAGCTATAGGACTTTTAATTGTCTCCATTAACACAAGGAGAAAATTCTGTAGTTTATAAGAGAACGCCTCAGTGTCCATAAGGATCTGTGTAATAAATATCACCCTCATAACTTTCATCTACAGAAAACCATCACAAGAGCCTGCAGGCTTTTTCGTCCCAAGGAGTAAACAGTAGTTTCTATTCAACCCCCAAATCCTCCCAAGGTCTCAGTGCAGATCAATTTAAAGCCAAGAGCATAGAATCTAAGCAGCTGTCCTAAGCAGCTCTCCTAAGCAGTGATGGAGATCATATCCAGACTGCATAGCGTAAGGTGCAAACTGACTGCTGCTAAGGAATACGGCCACCGTCATCTTCTGTCACGTCACCAACACTTCAATGTGGCGAAGGTTACAGAGGCCCACCCTAGGGTGTGTGGTACAGCCACCACCGAACCCTCTGCCTTTCAAACACTAACGGGGCCCAGGAGCAGGCCAGGCGCAGGTCTAGGAATAAAATGGTAAGCAAAAATACAACGTAGGATTGCTGGCAAAATCAAAGGTAGATCTGACAATGTCTAGGAACCCTTGCCGAAACTGTGACGTTTAGTAAATCTTTTCGTAAAATTATTTTTTTGGTGAAGATACATTTCCAGAATTCATCAAATCTATTAACACCAGTGGTGAATACAAAGCATTTTCATCATGTTTTGTTGTAGTTGTTGTTTTTCACTTCAAAATGGCAAATATGAAGAATTCAAAGTCTACCTTCTAAGTGGCTGGCAACTTGCACCTTAAACCACACTTCTACTTTAGAGAAAAAGAACAAAAAGTAGGGGAATAAATAGCTCAGAATAATTTTAGTAAAAGTTAACTATCTTTCACTTCATAAGTCTACATAGAATATGCCCCTCACAGATAATGAAAATCATATCAAATGTACTTTTTTATGTTTATTGCATATGCAAACCAAAATCTAGGGCCCATATTTCTAAAATTTATACTTTTCATGCTGCTAGACCAAAGGGCTACAGGTTATCTTCTTACAATATGCCCACGAGGTTTGTTATTTCCTTTTTAACCTTGATCAAAGATTTCAAACTGTTTTTCACAAAACCCAGTACTGTGTACATATTAAGGTTACTAAAGCATATTACACAAGAGACTAGCAAAAATGCCTACAAAAAGGAAAAAGAGGGAGGGAAGGAAAAGGAAATCAAGGAATAACTTCAACAATGTGCACTACATCTCAAATAATACTACATGTAGGAAAATTCTTCTCTGAAAATAATTTACTGTGTTAATTTTTAAATGGGATTTTTAAAAAATGCTGTCGTTAGTCATGGTAGCACATGCTGATAGCCCTGGCTACACAGGAGGCTGAGGTGGGAGGATGACTTGAGCTCACGAGTTTGAGATCAGCCTGGACAACAAAGCAAGACCCTCTCTCAAAAACCAAATAAAACAAAATAAAAACAACAATAAAAAATTTACCTGTAAGGTGCTGGGGATTTAGCTCAGCGGCACAGTGCCTGCCTGTCAAGTGCAAGGTTGTGAGTTCGATTCTCGGTACCAAAAAAAAAAAAAAAAAATTTACCTGTAGAGTTTTTTCCAGTCTACTTTTTTCCTTCATAAGTAAATCATATCCTTGATTACAATTTTGAATTATACTATCTCTTTCCTCCAAGTCATGTTCAAATCTCCTGCATTCTTCTTTCCATTTCTGCTGGGAAGTCTGAAATACTTTCTCAATCTCATTTGCTTTTTCTTGAAGTTCTGAATTCTGAGCTATTAAAAACAGAATTAAAATGTAGGTATATTTGTAATCATGAACTACATCACTAGATATCTAAAAGCTTAAGCATTGGAGCTAATTCCATTCACAGCATATTAGGACAAAACATTTAACCTTCCCATTTCAATAAACTCTTGAAATCTACTCTGTAATTTCTCACTCTTTTCCCCTCAGAGAAAAGTGATTTGGCTCTGAAATAGTGTCGCATATTCTTTAAGGTATGCCCAAGTTTAAATGTACCTCTAGCGTCAACTACTATTCTAAGGCCTTTCTGCTATGCAAGGAAGCAGGAGCTGGGGATATAGCTCAGCAGCACGGCGCCTGTCTGGCAAGTACGAGGTCCTGAGTTTGATTCCCGGTACCAAAGAAAGAAAACAAATCAAACATTTTTTTCAAATGATCAAAACAAAACAAAACAAAAAAAAACCAAATGGTCCAGACAGAGATGACAGAAAACCACAAGGCACACTATCAGAGACACAGGAGAGGATCAGAAAAAAAAGGAAGAGGAAGGGGAAGAATTTGGGGTGATGAGGGTGAAAATAATCACGATATGTTATACGCATTACCAGTAACCAAAACAAATCTCACTCTGTGTTACTAATATGTACCAATTAAAAATAAGGTCACGACACACAGGACTACTTTTCTTAAAGGACTCAATCACACGATTACTAATTTTGATATTTGACTACTGGTAACATACTTCCTGTGACACAGCTTACACATGAAACTGTCACAAAACTGAGGCTGGAATCATTACTCCAGCCCTTAAAAGTGTAACTATTCACTCGGTTTATGTCCTACTCACCTCTCACCCTACTACTATGTCAACAACAGCTAACACTTCTCAACACACTATCACCGCTGCTCCTGAAAGTAAGAAAAGACTTCCACGTCTGCCTCTACCACTTAGCACCTGAGTAAAACTTCCTGATTCTCTGGCCCTCACTGGGGATAGAAATGCCTCCTGGTGTGCGGTGGCACATGCTTGTAACCCCAGCCCTTGGGAGGTGAAGGCAGGAGGAGTGCTGCAAGTTTGAGCACTGCTGCAAGTTCCATCCTGGTCTCCACAGAGTTCAACGTCAGTCTGAAATACATAGTGAGACCCTGTCTCAAAACAAGAAACAGTGCCTCCTAGCTGTCACTGTTAAGATAAAATGAGGAAATATGTAGACACACTTATTAAACAAGAAATGCCAGTTATATTAGTAGTATGATTTTAAAATGACAGCACATTTCTTTGTGTTTGCAATGGCTCATTCATTCAAAAATTCATAATGTAAGTCTGGCGCAGCGGCACACACTTTAACCCCAGCCACTTGGGAGGTTGGGGCAGGAGGATCACAAGTTCAAATCCACCCTGAGCAAATTAGTGAGATGCTGTCTGAAAGCAAAAGAATTTTTAAAAGGGCTGGGAGTTTAGCTCAGTGTGAAGGCCCTGGTTCAATCCCCAGTACCATAAAAAATGAATAAAATAAAATTTTAAATTTTTGTTAATTATAAAAATTATAAACAGTACAGACGTAGGTCACTAGTAGAGCATCCCTGAGTTTCTTCCCCAGTTGCACACACATGCACACGTGCACGCACACACACAGATTAGAAACATAAAGGTCCAAAGGTCTAAAAAGGTAAATGACACAGAAGGACAGAAAACCCTGTTCCATAGTCTGCCATCCAATGTGGCAGGTAAGAAATTGAAGGCCTTTTTTTCTTTTTTTTTTTTTTTTTTTGTCTTCTTTGAGACTCACTATGCAGTTCAGGCTGGACTTGAGCTCACTTTGTAGCCCGGGCCAGTCTCGAACTTGCAAGGATCCTCCTGCCTCAGCCTCCCGAGTGCTGGAATTACAGGCATGCACCACCGTGCCCGGCTAAGGCCATTTTTATACCTGACCCTTTGCAATTAGCCTATGTGTTTCCTACTTGAAGCGCTAGGAATTCTTCCTGTAAAATTTTATGCTGCTGTGCCTCAAAGTGAACCTGTTTCTTTCCATAGCGGTAACAGTCATTGACCCCATCCAGCCTGGCAACTCAGACCCTGCAGTTTCCAGTGTTCTCTTGAGTAACTTCACTGATGGCTTCTCCCTGCCCTTCCTTCCGCTCTCTCCTATTACGCACATTAGTCCTCCAGTTTCCTTGTCTCTTTTCTCCCATCTTTCCACCTTTATCTTTTTCACTCTAATTTCTGGGAAGTTTCTTCCATCTTCATCTTCATGATCCTATTAACATTTTTCATTTCTACATGAAGAACTTTTTTTAAAATACATATGGTCCTTTCCTCATGGATGGGATATATTTTCTTTCAGCTCTGAGAAGTTCATTTGTTGGTACTGGTGATTAACCCCAGTGCCTTTTCACTGAGTTACATTCTCACTGCCTCTTTTATCTTTTATTTTGAGGCAGGGTCTCACTAGATGTCTAAATGTCCTAGGCTGGGCTTAAACTTCTGATCCTCCTGCCTCAGCCTCACACAGTCCTGTGATTACAGGTGCGCATGACCACACCCAGGTAGAATATTTATTACGAAGCCCCCAACACCAGTCTCGTTAGGTTTTTCTCCTTGGCTTAGTCAGCTGACCCACAGAAAAGGTCCTCCAAATTCTACCTGGGGTACAGGACCCTGGGTATAGCTTCTGGGAAAGCTGGGCACGATGGTTCCTCAGCACTTGGCATTGAGCGTTCTATCTCACTATTTTGCCAGCCAAAAGACTCTGTATTTTAGCATCTCCAGAGTTAAAGCCACCTGATCCCCACTAGCCGGTGGGAAAGACCGCAGAGCAGAATGTTCCTGGGAAGCAGATCTCAGGATCTGACGTCAGGCCAAGCAGCTTTCTTCTAACCTTCCTTATCTTACCCCTACTGTCACTTCCATTCCTAATTCCAGAGATACCTGGTGCCTTCGGCCTGCAAGTCCTCTGACCAGGAAGCTGTGTGCCAGCTTTCCCCACACCTGGCTTAGGACTCCGATGTCTGAGGCATGTTAGACCACTTCTTCCTCCTCCCTTTGCTTTCCCAGCTTCAAATTTTTCTTTGTCACGATTTCTATCCTTTCAATTTTTATGGGATTATCTTTAATATCCACTTTAACCTCCAAGTTTTTATTACAAATTTTTTAAAAATACAGAAAGTTGAAAAAATTACACAATGAACACCCATGTGTACACAACCTAGACTCTACAACTGTTAATGTTTGGCTACATTTACTTTATCACTCATTCGTCCATCCATTCATTCATTTACCCACCCATTAGTCTATCATATTTCTTTATGCATTTCAAAGAAGAAACAATCATCTGTATATTACACTCCTACACAAATGAGCATGTACATCACCAAACATGATGCAATAGTTTTACGTTTTTTAAAAGGTAAAATTTCCATATAGTAAAATGCACGAATTTTAGAGCACCATGGAAAGATGTTTCACAAACACATACACTCATGTAAAACTAAACCCCTATCAAAATATAGAACACTTCCTTCTACCCAAAACATTCCCCCATATTTTTCCCAGTCAATACCCACTGCCAACTGAACCACTGTTCAGTTTTTCGCCAGCAATTAGCTCTTCCTTTGCTAGAATTTTATATAAAACAATCATAGAGAATACCCTCATATGTATGAGGTTTCCCTCACTCAGCATAATGTTTTTGAGATTCATTCATGTTATTTATTGCACATATTAGTTGGTTCATTTTCATTTCTGAGTATTTCATTGTATAAATGTAACTCAAATTACTTCTTCACTTTCTCATCAATGGACATTGTGGATTGGGGGTCCCAATTTTCGGCTACTATGAGAGAAGTTGCTGTGAAATTCTTACAGAAGTCTTTTGTATTTTCTTTCCCATGGGAAAACACTGAATGCTGAAACTGCTGGATCACAGGACAATTTTTTAATCACCAGGCTTTTTTCCAAAGTAGTTGTACTATTTTATCCTTCCCTGAGAAAATATCAATTGCTCTACATGTTCATCAATATTTGATACTAACAGCCTTTTCCATTACAGCCATCTGAGGAGTGTACTGTGATGGCCACTGTAGTTATAATTCGTATTTCCCTGATAAGCAAGGTTAAGCTCTTCTCATATTATTGATGGCCATTCTGCCATTGTCCTCTGCAAAGTATCTGTTGAAATTGCTTGACTTTGAGTGAATAAATTTCCCATTTTCCCTGGACTTCAATTTCCTGATCCTTAAATGAAAGTCACTTTCACTTTTTATGTTTACTGCCTTCAATACTTACATTGCTAAGTTCAAGTTTTTGTATAGTTACTAAATATCATAGCTAACTGTGAGCGCTCAAAATATTACATCCCAAAGTACTGCACCAGAGCATGCTGAGTATTTCTGTGCTGAAGGATAAGGGAGGGTCTCAAAAGCAAAGAGGCCTCTCTAGCCTTCTCCTGCTCACCTCTCTTCTACCCCAAAAGTCCCCTGAAGCAAGGAATAAAACTTAGAAATCTCACTGTCTGACCTACATTCCCTGAAAGTAAACCAGAAGACCCTCATGTGACAGGGAGAAAGGAAGGATATGAAACAAACAGACCTTGCTGAACTCTCCCAAATTTATTACCATGATATCATATGCTTTCTGTCCAATTATATTTCTCCGTAACTATTCATATCTTTCATCAGATTTAGTATAAAAATACAGCTTTTCCTGAGTCTTCAAATTGTCAATTTCTGAAACCTCCCATGTCACATAATTTAAAATAAATTTTTTGTTTTCTCTTGATAATCCATTTTATGAGGTCATCCATAAACCTTGCAATGGATGAGGAAAAGAATATATTTTCTCCCCTAAGTAATCAAAATCTTTCTTACCAATATCAACAACCAAAGGCAACTGGACAAAACTAAGGATCTTAAGTACTGTAACAATTGTAACTTACCATTAATTTAGCCACAAGCACATAACACTTTCATTTTTCTCATTTCATCATTAAAAACAACCTATATTCAAACATCAGTAAAGTGATTGAAACAACATGTAAATCTAAAGCAAGTATGGTGATGCATGCCTGTAATTCCAGCACTCTGAGAGACTGAGGCAGGAGGATTGCAAGTTCAAGCTCAGCCTGGGCAACTTAGTGACTTAGAAAGAGCCTGTTTCAAAATAAAAACAAAAATAAAAAGGGCTGGGGTAGAGCTCACTGTGAAGGACCTAGGTTCAATCCCCAGTACAACCAAAAGAAAAAATGTAAGTCTAAATCTGAATTGACATTCAGTGCTCTCTTAATTAAAACTGCTATGTATAAGAATGCTGGTAACATGATTTCTTTTTCTTTGAGACAAGGCCTCAGTAGATTGCCCAGGCTGCTCTCAAACTTGTAAAACTCCTACCTCACATCTCCCAAGTAGCTGGAATTATAAAGGCATGCTACCACACCTGGCTAGCAGCACTATTCTCAATAACCAAAACCAGACACCATCCAAATGTCCAGCAACAGTAAATGAATAAATATGTGTGGTTATATTTATACAATATAACACTAAACATCAGTACCAAATTCATACAACAATGTGGATCAATCTGACAAACACAATGTTGAGAGAAAGAAGCTAGATCTAAAAGATATACTATATAATTCTGTATAAAAAAAAATTCACCCATGCTGCTAAGAACTGCAATAGAAGAGGAGTCAGCCAGGTAAGAAGAGCACTTGATAACGTTGTATTCCATGATCTACGTGCTTGCTGTGAATTATACAGTGACCTAGATAAATTTCTTTGTATGTATTTATTCATATTTAAATAAAAAGATTTTGAAGCCCAACTCTGACATAACAGCTTTTAATTTCTCAGCAGCAGGGCGTGAACTCAGGATCTCTGCACTGAGCTACATACATCTCAGCCTTTTTATTTTGAGGTAGGATCTCACTAAGTAGCTAAATTGTACATGCTGGCCTTTAATTCAAGATCCTTCTGCCTCAGCCCTGCTAAAGTGCTGAGATTACAGGCATGCACCACCTTGTCCTGCCGTAACAGTAGTAGTTCTTACACCTAGTTAATTTAAAATATCACCTGCAGTATTTCTTGAACATACAGATTCTCAAGTCAGAGGTTTGATTCAGATTATACGTCACTAGTGGCCTAGAACATATGTTTTAAAAAACAAAAATTCTTTCATGATCCTGCAGTTTATCCATGGAACAAGTGGCTCCAAAACGGATTAACATCTGGGCACAGCACTGCTCGCCTGTAATCCCAGCTACTTAAGAGGCTGCAAAAGGAGAACTGTAATTTCAAGGCCAGCAAGAGCAACTGCAAGACCCTGTCACAAAATACAAGGGGCTGGGGTGGAAGATCAGTGGTGGAGCACGTGCCTAGCATATGCAAAGGTTTAGGGCTCAAACTCCAGCAACACAAAAATAAACAGATAAAATAATCTAAAGTAGATAAACGTTCACACAATTACCAGACACTAGGGAAAAGTCTGTCAGTCAAAGGTCAGTCAATGCATCAAAACCCTACCCCTCCGATCACATATGGATATGCAGTGCAAGAAATGATACAGAGGTTATACCCTCAACGCGGGAAGAAACACAGACAGTCTTACTGTAGAGTTCTTCTTGGATCCTGTGTGCCTCGGCTAACCTTTCTTCAGCAGCCCGTCTTCCAAGACCAGTTTCCTTTCTAGCAACAGCCAGGTCATACTCCAGACTCTGTCGCAGTGCTTCTCCTTTTTCAACCTCAGACCGCAGCTTGGCAATCTGGCTCTCATAGCTTGACAGCTACAAACAGATTTCTGAGCTCATGAACCAGTATTAAAACATGTCTCCAAGATTACAAGATCATGCATTCAAACATTTACATTTCTTAGGAAATGTGCTTCCATGATATTTATAAGAACTTATAAATTTATATTTTTGAAAGGAAGCACTACCTTACCAATTGACACAGCTTCTTATTTAAGAGAACCAACTAGGAAAAGAATGAAAAAGAAAAAAATCCCTTTATAAACTCCTTGCAAGAATAAAGAAAAATCACATTTAAAAGAAACAGTCATACCTCAAAAATGAAAAAGACAGCTGGTGGCATCTATGGTGGCATATGCCTATAATCCCACTACTCACTCAGGAGGCTGAGGCAGGAATACTGTGAGTTTGAGGCCATTCTGGGCTACACAGTGAGTTCAAGGCCCTATATAGTAAGACCCTGCCTCAAAACACAAACAACAGTAACAAAAAACCTCACACACAAAGGACACATAGTAATTATTTTGAAAGTAATTTTCTCCTCTGCTCTCTATTCCCTAAATGATATAGTGAAAAAGCAAATGCAATCAAAGTATTTGGTAAATATTGTCTCTATTAGTTCTCTTGATTATAACATCACTAGAAGAGTTTAAAAGTAATAAAAATGCCAAATTAGCAGAGATTTTAACAAACCATTATCTATTTTTGTTTGTTTGTTTGTTTTCTTTGTTTGTTTTTCTCCGGTACCAGGAACTGAACTCATGACCTTGCGCTTGCCAGGCAGGCGCTTTGCCGCTGAGCTAAATCCCCAGCCCCACAAACCATTATCTAATTTGTGACATTCACTGAAGTACTGGGACAGCAACAGGTCGGAGTTAGTACTGGATTATTTTCTAAAGTCCTTCCTCATTCTAAAATTAGATGACTTAATCAGAGATTGACTAAAAACATTAGATACTCGCCAATGTTCAGTACAGTATAAAATACTAAAACAAATGTTATAGAGCCCCTGATTCAAGAGATTAAATGCTACACAAAGACACATGGGCTAACTTTTGTAGAAGAGATAAAAATCAAATGTAATGATACTGCCAAGAAAAGGAAATTACTTATTGCTGCTGGGATACAGAGAGATGGCAGAAGAGCAATAACTGTAGAAAGATATAAGAACTGCTATCTCACTGGGGTCGGGAATATAGCTTAGCAGCACAAGTGCCTGCCTGGCAAGTGCAAGGTCAGGAGTTTAATTCCCGGTACCTAAAAAAAAAAAAAAAAAAGAACTACGATCTCAGGCTATTGAGCTACCATATCAGGGTAGAAATAAACAGTCTAATTATCAAATGATTTATACTTTGGGTTTCTCATATAAGCAATTTATTGAGAAATGTGATTTATTTCACTTGTGTGTCTGATTTGCTTCATTTGACATACTGGTAGTGCATGCATGACTGTCCCATCAAGTGGTTTGTACCACTTGTAGAACAAATGGATCTAATCATGTCTATGAGTCACTTTACTAATACAATTTTTAAAAAGCTGCTTGACTGGACAGCCATGCGTGTATCACCAGGGGTTCAAGCTCCCCAGCAGCAGGACATAGGAATTATGGCCTCACTGTGAGAATGTTCACACTGTGGTCTCAAGACACACCCACCCTCCTACAAAGGACTCAAATTTACCCTGTTCGGCTGAGTAGCACTCCACTGTATGTATACACAACGTTTCTTTACCCAGTTATCTGTCAGTGGACACACAGGCTGCTTCCAAGATTTAGTTACGAGTTGTGCTGCTATAAACATGGCTATGCATGTATTGCTATGACATGATGCCTGTAACTCTTTCGAGCAATATTGAGAAGGGAAATAACTGGGTCAAATAAAATTTCTACTTTTATTTTGAAGAACTGTCATACTGATTTACGTAGTATCTGTATTAGTTTACAACCCATAATCAATGTAGAAAGGGTCCCCTGACCACTGTAGCCTCTCCAGCATTTATTATGTGATCTCTTGATAATAGCAGGATATAAAATCTAGGCTTCTATTCTCAACAGTTTAGCAATGGCCACAGCAGAAATAGCTGCCTTGAAAGATGATTTGCAAGATATATCTCCTATTCTCTCACCATAGACTGACTCAGATCTCACTATGCTACAGTAGGAGGAAAAATACATAGTCTGGTCCAGGAGGAAATAACTTAAGAAAAGAAACCTAATCTTGCTAATTTTATATTACCTAATTTTATATTAGCAAGGTCCTGGAGAACATATATTGGATTCATGTGGAATTTAATGAGCTATCTTTAACAGTCTGATTGGATAAGTCACTACAAACTGAATTCAGTACTGGTCTACAATCATTTAATAAGGTCAAAATGCCAGTACTTTCCTGATACCTAATGCACAGATAACTAACTAACCAAAGACCACATACCTTATAAATGGAAGGAACAGGAATTAATACATGATCTGCATAACTTAATATTTTTCCCATTGCACCAGGATAGATACACTGAACTTTAAGAATGAATAAGAATTTGGGCTAAGTGATACAATTCAGTGGTGAAGCGCTTGCTTAGCATATGCTAGGTTTGATTCTCAGCATGACACAAAAAAAGGAAGAAGAATGAATAAGGCATTGGAAAAAAGAACACAATGGATAGAAAGAGATAAAGAGGGAAGGGATGAAAAAATAAGGACATGTTACAAATATGTACCAACACTCCACAAGGAGGAAATGTAATCCTTATGTACTGCAAACATATACGAAAAAAAAAACCAAAACGATACAACAGAACAGATATTAAACTATAATTCACAAATTATCTTAGAAGAAAAAGAAAATTACTACCCTTGTCATATGTACATATCCATATGAAATATATATATGCATATCCCCCAAACTAAGTTATAATGATATAATAAAACAAAAAAACTATGATAATTTATGAACTGTATTATGATTTAAAATTCAGCTGGGCATGATGGCATATACTTGTAATCCCAGCACTCAGGAGGCTAAAGCACAAGGATTGCAAGGACAAACCTAGCATGGGCAATATAATGACTTAGCAAGACTCTCTCAAAATTTAAAAAAGAGGCTGGAGATACAGCTCAGTGTAAAGACTCTGATTTCTATCCCCACAAAAGGCAAGAAAAAAATTTCTAAAGCCAGGCCCAATGGCACACACCTGTAATCCCAGCTATGAGGCTGGGTGGCTAAGGCAGGAGAATTGAGAATTTGAGGATTACCTGGGCAATTTAGCAGGATCCTGTCTCAAAATAAAAATTAAAAATGGCTTAGGATATAGCTCAGCATCCCTAGGGATATAGCTCAGCATCCCTGGGTCAATCCCCAATAATATATATCCACACCCCTACACAACTTCTACACTCAAATCTACTTATCTAAGAGATTATTCCATGATTGAGGCAATAAGGGAACCTACATTATGATTTCAAAACTGTCTAACTTATAAATGTTTTAGTCATCAAAAATGTTTATCAATTAGTATTCTGGTCAAGTCAAACTCAGTAATTAAAATAAATCTAAGAAACCTACAAATAAATATAATTCATTAAAGTTGTACTTTAACAGTCCCATAACATTTCACTGTATTTTAAATGTTTTGTTCTTATAATTTGAAGGACAAGAATGGTAAACTGATAAAGGTTAAATATGGAGTTTGTAATATAAAATAAATATAAAAATCCAAACTCAACTTTTAATACTGAAAGGAAAATAAATTGTACCTCTGCATTGTGCTTAGTTGTCATTTCTAATTTTTCTTTCTTAGCCCGATGGAGTTTCTTTCTAAGATCAGCAGTAATATCTAAGTCTGTTTCATTTTTAATCATTTGTTTTACATCTGAGGAGGCATTCTTCAACCTAGAAAACAGGATCATAATAAAATATAATTCTCATAAAACATAATTCATAGCATTTCTGATACTTCTGATAGCATATTTTTAAAAATATGGAAAATAATAAGGTCCTTGACTTAAATTTATAATCTAGTAAAATATATTCATTACAAAAGTTAGATAGAAACTCAAAATAGTATATTACTAGTAATAAACCACTGTCTACTGGGAACCCATTACATAGTTCAAGATAGGTACTTTTTATGGCTTGTGCCTAGATATTCCCCCAAATCCTCATGCAGTCATGGGTGGGGGCTTCTTCAGAGATGGCTAGATCTAAAGTGTGTGATCTCTGACAAGTAGTCATTTCCTAAGGATTTTAATGCTAGCAATAAAGCTACACACCAAAAACAACTTATAAGCAACAACTTAGGAATTTTAAACAAAAAAATAGAGAATGAGATGTTACTTAAAGAAGATGACACCCCAGAGTTCCAGCTAACCAAAGGCAAGCCCAGGAGGCAATGAGGTGGAATAATTCAAAGCCACCCACGTGGACTCTATGACATGGTAACAGCAGAAGTAACATACCAAAGGCTCTAGAAAAAATAAAATCAGAAAGAACTTCTCAGATAACTACAAAGAATTTCTCAGAACATAATGAATGACACGCTTAGTGACTTCTGAGTAGATAAAAGAAAATAGAAGAGCTTAGGAAAATGATGGAAATCACACCACAAACATAGGAAAGAAATGGAATCTATGAAACAGATTCCAACAGATATGCAGTAAACTGAAAATTGCATTGAAAGCATATTCAACAGAATGAGTCAATGTGAGGACAGAATATAAGATACAGAAGACAGGATTCTAGTTAGGGATCATGACAAGAAAGATTTCATAAAAACAGCAAGGGACCATGAGAAATCAATTCAGCACCTGCTATATGATACAAAGAAAATAACATAAGATTGATTGAAGGCAGATAAAAAGCAGGAGATAGCACAAATGACAGAAAAAAAAACCTTTTTCACAGAAGTCATGGCAGAAAACTTCCCAACCAGTGAAGAAATTTGACATACAGAAAGTGAGGCACATAGAACTCCAATTAGCCATGATCAAAAAAAAATCTACAGCAAGGAATATAATAGTCAAGGTTCCAGAAATTCAACACATGAATAGACTATTAAGAGCTGTTAGAGAAAAGAAATAAATCACATAAAGGAAAGCCCATCAGAATCACAGAGCTTGGAGGAAAGTCTTTCAACCCCTAAAAGAAAACAAACTCCAACTCAGATTAATGTACCCTGCAAAA